CAGAGCGTCGAACGGAGAGAGGAACTCCTCACCCGGTTAAAATATAGTCTGAGATTCTCGGTCCGAAAATCATTAAATCCACGGCAAATAGTTGTGGAACTAGTGGATCCTGGCTTGCTTCGCGGCGCAAAAGGTTATGAAATGATGAGGCATATAATTTGGGATCGAATGGTGTTTGTCCCGTGTCGATCGGCTTTCTAGAAGCTAAGATAATCGCAAAAAACCTGTTCGACTTGCAAAAATACTTGGTATTTGCTTGGTACTTGCAAAAGTACTTGGTACTTGCTTGGTATTGGCAAAGGTACTTGGTACTTGGTATCTGGAACATGCAAAAAGTACTTGGTACTGGCTTGGTACTTGCTTGGTACCGGGTTCGCCGGGTAGGAAAACTTGCCACTCTACTCCCGACCCCCCCCCCCCCAGTTCCCAGTCCCCCCAGATTTGGTATCGATCGGTGTTTGTCCGGTGTGAATCGGTCGTGAATTAGTCGAGATACGCACGGTGAATTATTTCCATCGGCGCTGATCAGAATCTTTAAAACGGAGGACCCCACGCTCATTAACTGCACGTCAATCGGCCGTGTTTCACTTTTCCCAGATCTACGTCAAACTATACGTATTTAAAACTACAGATTCTACAGCCGAATCTTCAAACTGGGGGTACCCTCGCTCATTACAGCGCGTGAATTAAGGCGTCTGTCCACGTAATGCAAAGTGAATGCGTCTGTCCGAGCCTATCTCGCAAGCCCCAAGAGAAAAAGCTCGCTGCAAAAACTGAACGCTTCAAAAAACCCGCAATCCTACTCAAATAGTATATTAACTAGTGGATCCTGGCTTGCTTCGCGGCGCAAAAGGTTATAAAATGATGAGGCATGAAATTTGGGATCGAATGGTGTTTGTCCCGTGTCGATCGGCTTTCTAGAAGCTAAGATAATCGCAAAAAACCTGTACGACTTGCAAAAGTACTTGGTACTTGCTTGGTACTTGCAAAAGTACTTGATACTTGCTTGGTATTGGCAAAAGTACTTGGTACTTGCTTGGTATTGGCAAAAGTACTTGGTACTTGCTTGATATCTGGAACATGCAAAAAGTACTTGGTACTGGCTTGGTACTTGCAAAGGTACTTGGTACTTGCTTGGTACCGGGTTCGCCGGGTAAGAAAACTTGCCACTCTACTCCCGACCCCCCCCCCCCCCAGTTCCCAGTCCCCCCCAGATTTGGTATCGATCGGTGTTTGTCCGGTGTGAATCGGTCGTGAATTAGTCGAGATACGCACGGTGAATTATTTCCATCGGCGCTGATCAGAATCTTTAAAACGGAGGACCCCACGCTCATTAACTGCACGTCAATCGGCCGTGTTTCACTTTTCCCAGATCTACGTCAAACTATACGTATTTAAAACTACAGATTCTACAGCCGAATCTTCAAACTGGGGGTACCCTCGCTCATTACAGCGCGTGAATTAAGGCGTCTGTCCACGTAATGCAAAGTGAATGCGTCTGTCCGAGCCTATCTCGCAAGCCCCAAGAGAAAAAGCTCGCTGCAAAAACTGAACGCTTCAAAAAACCCGCAATCCTACTCAAATAGTATATTAACTAGGGGATCCTGGCTTGCTTCGCGGCGCAAAAGGTTATGAAATGATGAGGCATAAAATTTGGGATCGAATGGTGTTTGTCCCGTGTCGATCGGCTTTCTAGAAGCTAAGATAATCGCAAAAAACCTGTTCGACTTGCAAAAATACTTGGTATTTGCTTGGTACTTGCAAAAGTACTTGGTACTTGCTTGGTATTGTCAAAGGTACTTGGTACTTGGTATCTGGAACATGCAAAAAGTACTTGGTACTGGCTTGGTACTTGCTTGGTACCGGGTTCGCCGGGTAGGAAAACTTGCCACTCTACTCCCGACCCCCCCCCCCAGTTCCCAGTCCCCCCAGATTTGGTATCGATCGGTGTTTGTCCGGTGTGAATCGGTCGTGAATTAGTCGAGATACGCACGGTGAATTATTTCCATCGGCGCTGATCAGAATCTTTAAAACGGAGGACCCCACGCTCATTAACTGCACGTCAATCGGCCGTGTTTCACTTTTCCCAGATCTACGTCAAACTATACGTATTTAAAACTACAGATTCTACAGCCGAATCTTCAAACTGGGGGTACCCTCGCTCATTACAGCGCGTGAATTAAGGCGTCTGTCCACGTAATGCAAAGTGAATGCGTCTGTCCGAGCCTATCTCGCAAGCCCCAAGAGAAAAAGCTCGCTGCAAAAACTGAACGCTTCAAAAAACCCGCAATCCTACTCAAATAGTATATTAACTAGGGGATCCTGGCTTGCTTCGCGGCGCAAAAGGTTATGAAATGATGAGGCATAAAATTTGGGATCGAATGGTGTTTGTCCCGTGTCGATCGGCTTTCTAGAAGCTAAGATAATCGCAAAAAACCTGTTCGACTTGCAAAAATACTTGGTATTTGCTTGGTACTTGCAAAAGTACTTGGTACTTGCTTGGTATTGGCAAAGGTACTTGGTACTTGGTATCTGGAACATGCAAAAAGTACTTGGTACTGGCTTGGTACTTGCTTGGTACCGGGTTCGCCGGGTAGGAAAACTTGCCACTCTACTCCCGACCCCCCCCCCCAGTTCCCAGTCCCCCCAGATTTGGTATCGATCGGTGTTTGTCCGGTGTGAATCGGTCGTGAATTAGTCGAGATACGCACGGTGAATTATTTCCATCGGCGCTGATCAGAATCTTTAAAACGGAGGACCCCACGCTCATTAACTGCACGTCAATCGGCCGTGTTTCACTTTTCCCAGATCTACGTCAAACTATACGTATTTAAAACTACAGATTCTACAGCCGAATCTTCAAACTGGGGGTACCCTCGCTCATTACAGCGCGTGAATTAAGGCGTCTGTCCACGTAATGCAAAGTGAATGCGTCTGTCCGAGCCTATCTCGCAAGCCCCAAGAGAAAAAGCTCGCTGCAAAAACTGAACGCTTCAAAAAACCCGCAATCCTACTCAAATAGTATATTAACAAATAGTATATTAACAAGCGGCTGCGCCACTTGCTTCGCGGCGTAGCCAGAAAATGCGGCACCAGCACCAGCCAATTTGCTTTCGAATGGTGTTTAATTTAAATTAATCTGTCGTCTGGAAGCAGAGATATGGACGGAAACGTGCAGAGGAAATTTTTGATCATAATAACTATTCTGAGGGCTTTCTTGGATGAAATTTGGATCATACGGGGTCAAGTCAGGTCAAGTTGGCCATCCCTGGTCACACTGGGTCAGGCCAAGCCGTATAGGTCACCACGTCACATTGAATCGGCCTGGGCCACACTTCTACTACTTCTACCCATACCACTACTCTTCCACTACCCCTACCCCTACCACTGCCACTACCCCTACCACTACCCTACTACTACCCCTACTACTACCCCTACCACTACTCCTACCACTACCCCTAGTACTACCCCTACCACTACCCCTAATACTACCACTACCACTACCCCAACCACTACCCTACTACTACCCCTACTACTACCCCTACCACTACCCCTACTGCTACCACTACCCCTACCGCTACTCCTACCACTACTACTACCACTACCACTACCACCACCACTACCACTGGGGCATGTTAAGTCACAGGCTATAAGATAAACTGATAAACTAAAAAAAGAGTTCCTAACCCTGCTCCTACTCGTGTCATTCCATTATTCTTAATCGTGTTTGGTTGAAATGGCGCCTTGTGACAAATATGGCGCATTGCGACAAAAGTGGTGCATTTATTCCTGTCGTTTTGCCATGCATACTTCCACCGAATTGCACCTTTATCGGACCATATTTGACAAAGTTGTGCAATTTGCGGCAAAAATAGCGCATGTGGACAAATGTGGCGCACTGCGGCAAATGCGGTGCATTCGGTTAAGCGCATTGAAAACTGTCTTTATTTACCGAAAATCAACACCTTCATTCGCCTCTGTTTATCAAAATAAATAACTTGCCAATCTGCAAATGAGAGGCACCCGCTGCCGATCGTCATGCATTTTAGTTGCAAAGTTCATCAAACCCGTCTGCCGATGCCTTGAAGCCGGCTTGAGAACCGAACAAAATTCTGAGAAAATACGCACTTTTCCAGCGCGTGCCACGTGCGAACCATCCACCCCCCGGGACTCGAAACACGCCACTGCACGTGCCCGTGACGTCATCAACACGCTGTGAAAATTTCAGCCCCATCGACCGCACCGTTTGACCTGGGCACGGCGTCAAAGCACCCCTCTGCACGGTGCAACACACACACAGAAAGACAGAGTTTCATTTCACAAATAGTATAGTAGATAATAGCCGGATTTCGATTTTTTCAGCTGACGTTTCTGAGGAAAACGGCTGGTGGCCGCTGACGTCATCAGAGCTGCGATCAGTGCTGCCAACTGGTTTGGCGGCTGCCCACGCTCGCTGTGACTGTGACTGACACACGCAGGCTGTTGGGATCAGTGTCGGCAGTCCGACATTCCGCTGATAGATGGCGGTCATACATGGCCCAGTGGAGGTATTACTGGTCTGACCAATGGACCCTCTCATACTACCGGACTTGACCCTATGCCGTCAACATGGTCTGAGCATGTGGACGGATAGAGCGGTGACACAAATCCGACAACCATGGAATACCAGTGACAATCACGGAGGCACGCTTTTGAAGGAGTTTTGTGTGCGTAATTAGGCATCATAAGAGGTACGATTATGAGACAAGTCGATGAAGTACGACTTTCTCGTAGCATGCAGCCACAGTCCAACACCTCCATGGAACGTTCTAACCGATACAAAACTCTTGAGTCACACAGACCGTAACATCACAGCAATCACAATTTGAATTTTGAACATTACACGAAAGTCAACATCAGCTGACCTCCGAGGCCGTAGAGGACGTGCAGCCGCCCAGCTGCCTGCCCTCTGCAGCACACCCCCTCCACCAAATCGATCCCCGGGGGATCCAGCCACTCACCCGCCGCCAAAGAGGAACGACATGTCGCCCGTCCAGCGCCGTCCGCCGAGTCGTCAGCGATCCTGGAAGAGAACGCACGTCAGCGTCTGATCCTCAGCGACTCTGCGCGCAGCACACCACACACCGGCCGGCCCGGCACTGCCACCCTGCCGCTCGGTAGGCTACCGGCTACCGCCCAGCGCTGGCCGCCGTCACTGGCACCCCGACCGCCGCCGCCGGCCGCGGCTACCCTCCCCCCTTCCCTCCCCTCCCTCCAGCCGACGAGGCAGCGCTGGTCGCCGCCGGCCGCCGGCGACGATTCCACTTCCCCTCGGGCGCAGCGGTGCCGGATGAGCGAGCGAGTGAGCGAGGGAGCCTGGGAGGGGCTCGACGGAATTACAACAGCTTGGGCACTGGGTGGGGTTGCAAATCGGCCACGGTTGTGGGCGTGAGCCGTAGAGCGGTGAGCCGGTCAGGGAAGGAAAGGTTGCACCAAGCATGCTACCGGATAACCTGAATGAAAACAAATCATTCACGGTTTACTGCGAAGTGCAACAAAAAACACAACAAAGATGTTGCACTTTCCGCATAAAGTATAAGTTAGCAAAACTGCCACAATCTGAAAGACACCCATACCAAAGTAACGCCATACACTGACATCCCAAATCTCGACACCCGGCACACCAAATAAGGGAACGGCGGCGGAAGGTCTCTATAGGAGCGTCAAGTGGCGTGGGTCCATGTGGGAGGGCGGGTGGTGCGTTCTCCTGGCTCCGGCCTTGACAGGCCCCCGGACAGAGAGGCGGTTCATTGTAACGTTCCAGCTCACCGTGCCAGCCTCGGGTGGAGGTGGTCTGCATATCGGCGCTGGGTGAGCCTACATTGTGAATGACTGGGCGACTTCTAACACCTGTCGGGGACTGACACCTGACAGCTGCCATGGACGTGAGGGCATCACAAATCAATGCAAGTAAGCAAAAAATGCAATTGAAATATCCGCGGTCATCGTGCTCACAGTTCGTCTTTCTGACATGAGCACCCCGCCCCCGCCAGCGGCCCGCACCCGAGGGACTGATTGGGCTAAATAGTTGTCTCTTTAGTGTCGAATCCCGTATGCCGAATATGAGGTAAATACAACATGCTGCAGGTAAGAAAGCCTGACTGAGCCCTCGGAGACGGTCGGTAGAGCAGAGCACATGACACGAGAGCGGTGTGCACGGTCGGTACTACCGACCGTCGGTACTACCGACCTCTACCGACTCGGTAGCAGAGCACATGACACGAGAGCGGTGTGCACGGTCGGTACTACCGACCGTCGGTACTACCGACCTCTACCGACTCGGTAGCAGAGCACATGACACGAGAGCGGTGTGCACGGTCGGTACTAGAGGTGGCAAAATGTGGACCCGAGGACCCGGTCCAAAGAACCAGTCTAGACCCATATGGGTCCAGACTGGTTCCTGGAAATTTTCTGACGGGTCCAATCGGGTCCTACCATAAGCTATACATCTTGCACACTACACATTATTGCAGAATATGAAGTGAATGTTTCTTTGCACACAGTAGCTCATGAGCATTCCCAGTGGGAAATATACTGTTTTACATGATGCAACTAATGATACCTACAGGTAGTTTGTATTAATTGACTTTTGGCCTTTTCGGGAACGGGTCCAATTGGTTCCGATTCCAACTAAGACCGGGTCCGACTGGTTCCAGAAATGTCCAGCCGGGTCTGGTTCGAGTCTGGTTCCCAAAATTTTCATCTTTTGCCATCTCTAGTCGGTACTACCGACCGTCGGTACTACCGACCTCTACCGACTCGGTAGCAGAGCACATGACACGAGAGCGGTGTGCACGTCAGAACACGGTCGAATGCGCACAATATAACAGCACAGTTGCCGTTCTGTGTCGACCGTGCAGTGTGCAATGTGCATGCCTTGTGGACTGCACGATGTGTTTATGCATTATGCACATGTTCAAGGTTCCCGTTACGAGCCATTTGCCTGCTCATTGAGCGTTGAGCCATAGTAAGGCCGTCTTATTTGAGTCCATAGGGGTGTGAATTTTTGGGTGCCCTCCCCCTCCCAATCCTGAGACGGTGGAGGAGCCCGTGCATCTCAGTATCTTCAATTTTGACTTTTTATGTAGAAGCCCATGTCCTCTCATAGCTCCCCAATAGCAGCTCAGCAGATTGCAGAACGATACACATCAGTCTCCGAGGCGGTGCAGTGTGCACCCATGTCTGCAGTCCGCCGGCCCGTCTGCAGTCCTGGTTTACGGCCCGGCGGCCTCCCGGTCTGCAATGCCCCCCCCCCCCCCCGCAGCAGCGCCGCCGGAACCGGTCCACTCCGGACCGCGGTCCTGACTCGGCGCAGGGACGGGAAGCCAGTCTCCCCGGCCCGCGTGGACCGCGCGCTCGTCAGGGTCAAGGCCTGATGAGAGCCGCGCTGCATGGCGACGGACCGGGACAGGGCGGGATGGTGGGCCCGGTGGCTTTGAATGATGCCCGGGTGTGCGGGCCGCAGTATGTAGTGCTCAGAGACAGGTATGACGCTCGCTGGCCCAGGGTGATGACTGGTGGCCCGGTGACTCAGAGTGGTGCCGGGTGGCTCAAGGCGGCGGCCGCGTCGCGTTGTGCTGGGCAGGGCGCGGCGCAGAGCAGCGTGGTGTGTGGGAGTGGCACCAGCGGAGGCCGGGCGCAGCGGGACATCACATAGATATGCCGGTGTGGAGGGAGACGGGTGGAGTCTCTAGACGAGCCGTGGGCCTCTTAGCGCCACACAGAGGCATTCAATTGGCCACCACACGACCCGCGAGTCTGCAGTGCAGCATGGTCGGCGCTGACTACAAACACTGACGTCAGGGCAGTCTATCACGGCCGGGATGGTCCATGCACCCTCCCCCCCCCCTCCCGGACGGTCGAGGTCACACATACTGGCGGCCGGTCCGCGTGTGTGGGCGGTCCGCCCCCGCCCCCGCTCGCGAGGGCATCGGTTTCTGGTCCCGAGCTGCGCCGCGCCGCGCTGGGCGGTATGATGATGAGGCCACTGAGGGACCGGGGTGAGCCACGTCATCACACAACTATGCGATGTTTTGTGATAGCACCCACCGAATGATCAATGACGCTCGATTTGAATGAATAGGTTTAGGTACCGGGAAGACGTTAAAACAAAAAATCAGTGCAAAAGGTTCTCCGTGATCGATCCAAAGTCAAGCCAGTCTTCATGCGCTATCCGAAAGCCCACAGAAAAGTATAAACACGGAAACCACAAGAGACACGCGGTCTGCACAGAGCCGCAGAGGGATCGTCCGTCGGGGCGGTCCTCCAATCGATCCTCCAAGGTCGGTCATGTCACGGGACGGTCATGCCCGCGCATAGCTGAAGGTCAGGCGGGGTGAGCTAACACCTAGAGGCCCGGGCTGGGGAATTATGGGAACGATCACCAGAGCGGAAAATGTTGCCAGACAGGTGGCCACAGAAGCCGGTGCGGTGTTGTTCGCACGTGCAGCGCCACTGAATCCCAGCTGGGCGGCCGAGTCCGCTGCACTGAATACCCATACCAGGTGGAGGGCGCTGTTGACGGGGCCACGCCGCTCCTCATAGTTGGACCACAACACGCTACCCGTTCATCAACCCGGCTTATAACGACCAATATACAATCTCAATAACTACCACACAGCTCATTAGAACGAACCTCCGCGTCTGGCCCTTTCAGCCGCTTCCACCTCCAGCTCTTTCCACCTTATCACCATTGAGCGGCGGTCGGGGGCGTGGCGGCCGGCGCTCGGCCCTTCACCTCATACCTCCTCCCCTGACTCCTACCAGTCCTTACCGGTCCTGTGGCCTTCTGTGTCAAGTTCCTTCCACTCCGCGTCTCTCCGCGGGCGCCTGTCTCACAGCTCCCACCGTATCACTACGAGCCTGCCTCTAACACCACCCCAGCACGACCGACGGTCGACTGTGCTACCGCCGCGGCCGCCGCGCCGCCGCCGTCGGGGAGGCGGTGGGCGGAGCCTCGGGGAGCGCCGGCCGGCCGGCCGGCCGGCATCGGCCAGAGAGGGCGGTTTGTGGAATGAATGTGACAAGGGACATCATTCTGAGCAGCGATGTGGGTGAATGATGGTACGAATTTATAGATTTCTTACCTAGAGGAGAGTGGTCACGTCCCCGGGTTGATGATCATAGAGTCAGAAGACGTCGGCCGTGATGACGTCAGGCTGGAATGACGTCATGTTGCCTGGGGCGGACCGGTATTCAGCGCAGTGGCGGCACCCAACATCGTCAGCGATGTTATGGACCACGGCGCCCGATCAGCCGACGACTGAGCTGAAACATCCTCAGTGTATGGATGAGTGTCAGGCACATGAGGCACGGTTCCACGCCCATCGAATCGCGCGTTGGTGGTATTAGAACGAGGATAAGGACGCACAATTCCCAGCAAAATTATGGGATAGGTTGAATCCCATTAGAATACCGATGCTGGATGCAGTATGCATTGCCTGACCGGTGAGTCATTTTGACTTTTGAGTCGGTTCAGTTTGTCTGCATCTGACATGACGTGATGCATGAATATGAACACCAACTAATTGTAATGGGCAATGATAGGTACCATCCACGGACCACAGGATGCATGCACGCCTACATTCCACAGAAGCAACCAGATTCAGTTCAGCCTTTCCACTCCAGTCTTCAGGGATGTTTTATATACTTTAATTTGAGACGACCCTTATGCATCGCAAGACAGTCTGTTCCAAGAGTCGAGATCAAGATCAAGATCAAGAACCGCCGAACTTGAACTCTGCGCTGCGCCGACCGGGCGTATGTTCCTTACCTTAGTGTCCCACTTGGAATTCTATCTGAACTTTTCTGAACTATTATTCCAGAACTGAATATCGACGACAAACTTCATAAATCAGAGATATATCATGCAAAATTTTCTTATATTTCGAGGGTGACCATTTGGCTGACTGCCCGCCTCAAGGCCCTATATACCAAGGCCCGCCTTCTCCACGAACAATCGTGGCCTCCCGCGAAGGATTTCCCTGTATTTCCCTACATATGGAAGCTCACAAATGCGGCATAAAAGGTGCTCGAGAGACAAAAAACTCGTGTTTAGCCGTGTTCTATCTTAGAATGGTCATTCGAATCAGCTTCAAGTTCCCATGGTACCTCAGCTTCTACAAGCATTGAAGCTGATGATGACGTATACAAGTCGCCAAGCGTCCAATAAGAAGTCAGAAATTCCTCATTTTGTTAGCTATGACGTCGAAACTTCAGAGGAAGATATGACGTCAACCAAGAGGAAGTTACTAACTGCTGCTTGCTGCCGTACTGTTGAACAACTGTTTGGTAAACAACAAATGTAATTAGATTCAAGGCCTAGATTGCTCTTCTCCAAGGTCAACGAAAGTGTCATCCGTGCCGGTCGGTCTCCATTCGGCCTTGGAAGTTCGCCCGCCCTCGATCAACCGAGAGAGGACTGAGGAGTCCAAACTCCAAGTCAACTTGAGATTGCCACAGTGACTCACAAATAAGAAAATATTTACCTCAACTGATTGGAATATTTGTCAGGTGAGCCTTTTGAGTGTTATGAGTCGGAGATTCTGTTCGTTCCTAACTTTAACTGACTTCCTGGTTTGGGCCAAAACTTAGCAATAATTTTGTTTAATCTTCAACTGAGCAGGCAATGAATGATATGATGCTAATACAACTTTGAGAAGGGGCAATGTATCAGGGGCAGATACCCTGAGTGACAACCTTTTAATTTCTAAGCTTTCATGAAGCTCCATGAATTGTCAATTGAGTCTTTGGTGCCAGGACCCTATTTCATCGCCGCTGCTAGCACTCTGCCAGCACATGTGTCATATTGGGTTTCCATGGAGCCATCAACGAATTTATGCCTCAAACGCCACAATCTGTGATGCAGGGTGACAGAGTCGATGGTTTTCAAGTGACTGACTGACTCCAGCTTCAAAATTGACTCTGATTCTGAGTCCAGCTCTTCTCCAAGGTCAATGGAAGTCTCATCTGTTCACTCACCTGGTTCACTCACCTGGTGGGGTTCCCAATCTCACGTCTGCAGACAGGAAGGAGTAGGCAGGGATACAGTAGGAACCCACAGACACAAGGCGCACCAGCAGTTGCTACTACCGGAGTGGAGCGCCTGCACATATGTTTGCGCGAAAACAGGCATGGTTCAAGATGCAAACAAGAGTAGTTATGTTGTACATAATTGATGCAGGAGAAAGACAAAATCAATGCTACTTTAAATGTGTCCATGGTACAGTGCATTTCGCAAGACGGAGAACAAAACAAGGCGGTTAGTGAAAGTCATACAGAGCGTCGCCTAGGGCTTCCGCCAGCAAACCCTTAAAGGTTTTGTAGTTAGGTTCCATTACGACGTGCTCCGGGAGGGAGTTCCATAGTCTCACACCGCGCACCGAGAATGACCTACGCCTGACATCAGTCTGCGAGCGGGGATGGAAAATCTTAAAGCAATGTCCGCGCATGCCTAACTGAGGAGGTAGAGTGAACAAGTCAGCGGGGGACACCGCACATTTGTCATGGAACACCTTCCAGTACTGAATCATATCAGCCCTTAGCAGTCTGCCTTGAATTGAATACAAGTTCAGCGATGAGAGCCGGGACCGATAATCCAGACTCGACAGGCCAGCGATATGCTTGGTCCAGCGACGCTGGACCGACTCCAGAGCGCGCAGGTCTCCCAGGTACCCAGTGTGCCACACACACGAGCAGTACTCGATAACTGGTCTTATGTGAGTGCGGAAAAGTGTCAGCATAAAGTCCGGAGATCGGCACACCGTGCTCCTCAGGAGGTTTTGAGAAAGACCTGCGGCCTTGTGGACAGTAGCGGATATGTGGTCGTGGAATTTGAGGCTCGAGTCCACCAGTACTCCGAGATCCGGATGGGAGGGGACAACTCGAATCGGGGAATTATCGATGTCATACGCTGGAGGTGGAAGAGATTGAGATTGAGCCTTGCTCTGAAAACGTATGACCACACATTTGTCACGGTTCAGGCGAAGGTCCCATGACGAAGAAATACGGTGCAGGGCAGTGATGTCCTGTTGACAAAGCGAGGAGGCATGGTCATATGCGTCTGCTGAGCTGTGGGCAACTTTCATGTAAAGCTTCAGATCGTCAGCGAAAATCTTGTGACTAGATGCGAGACTGCTACCAATATGGTTAATAAAGACTAAAAACAAAATCGGACCAAGGACCGAGCCCTGTGGGACCCCACTGGACACGGGGCGAGTTTTGCTCAGTACACCTTTCACTGACACAGACAGAGATCGACCAATCAGAAAATCTTCAATCCAGTAGATGAGGGGCTCAGCAATGCCGATCATGCGAAGCTTGCGAAGAAGGATAGAGTGAGAGACAACATCAAATGCTTTGGCAAAGTCAAACATTACGAGGTCAGTAACACAGCCATCATCAAGCCATTTAGACACCTCGTCATATACAAGGATCAGCTGATCCTGAGTGGATCTCCCGGCTCTGAAACCGAATTGGTTATTTGTCAGCATAGAGTTCTCTTCCAAGTAGGTTGTAAGCTGCTGGCAGATCAGGCGTTCTAGACATTTGCAAGACACCGAAGTCAAGCTGATGGGACGATAGTTCAGGGGGTTATACCTCGAGCCCTTCTTGAATAAAGGAATTACGACGGATATCTTCCAAGAAGCAGGTAAGCGACGTTCTCTGAGTGACTGTCTGAAAATAACAAACAAGGGAAATGCTAGGCTGTTTGCACAAGCTCGTAGGAGCGATGGGTGGAGGTTGTCTGGGCCAGCAGCTGAGTGGGGGTCCAGTGATCGCAGCACTGCAAGAACCTCGTCAACAGAGAAGTCAACGGGTGGCATAACAGAGTCCGCTGTTTCGTGAGGGGACTGGTTAGGGTTGGGGGGACCGCGGCCGAAGACGCTCTCAAAGGCCTCAGCAAAGGCTTCAGCCATTGTAGCAGGGTCATCTGAAAGCGTGTCATTGCAAAGTCGTAAGGGACCAACGCCAGGGCAGCCTACCTTTTTACGCCTGAGATGTGCATGCAGAGCCTTAGGGTTAGAGGCAGACTCCTGGAGCAGTTTCTGTTCGTAGCACGCCTGGGACTCCAGGGCAAACCTTTTCAGAGAGCGATTGAGGGTGAAGAAAGTATCGAGTGCTGATATGGCCGCTGCAGATCGCCTGCCATGGGTAAGTCTCATCTTTTTGTACGTCTCCCATGCGTGTCTCCTCCGGTGTCTGAGGCTGCCAGGGGGGTTTGTCCTCCATGGGGGACGGGTGTTGTCAGCAGAGGAAGTTCCTGTAGGGACAAAATCGTCGATAAGAGGCGACAGTCTGTCCAGAAAGCGGGTGTACATCTGGTTGACATCGCAGCCTGTAAATTCAGCGCTCCAGTCAATAGCGTTCAGTTCGCGGGAGATGCGATCAAATTTCGCCCTGTGCCACTTCCTGAACTGAGTGCTAGATTGGGACGTTGGGGGTGAATAGTCAAACACATAGTTACAAAGCACCGGGCAGTGATCGCAGCCCGGCAGGGGCGGAAGTACCGAAGAAGTACCCATCCTGTCAGTTTCAGTTGTAAGCACAAGATCGAGTGTGCTTCCAGAGCGGGGGTAAGTGGGGACACAGATCCATTGAGTTAATCCAAGCGACATGAAGGTGTCATAGAAATCAGTGTCACAGCCTGACGCGCGAGATGAGGGGCTGCTGGAGTCCCACGCGAGGGACGGGAGATTGAAGTCCCCCATGAGCACGACTTCACGGTCTGCACAAAAAGAAATGAGAAAATCCAAGAGATGCTGATTGGCTTCAGGCTCCGACGACGGGGGGCGGTAGACTGCAACAATATGTACACTGAACTCTGGCAATACAATGGCGACAGTGTTAGGACAATCAGTTTCAATTTGTTCGAACTTCAAGCAATTTTTAACATAGATACAAACACCGTGCTTGGCAAAAGAGCCTTCAGTATCTTTTCTGACCACTCTGAAGCCAGGAATGTCGATAAATGAATCTGGCATAGAGCTGAGGAGATGAGATTCCGTTATACACATGATATGGACACTGTGACACAGTATAAAATCTTGCACCACCGGCAGCTTACGGACTAGCGAGTTCACATTAGACTGACTTATGTTAAGGACGAATGTGCTGCGGCTGTAGGAACTGGTAGTCAAAGCTACACGTTTGACTCAGGGTCAGGGACATCATTGTTGTTGGAGTTGTTAGGGTGGTCATCAGAGGGCGGGGCAGCAGGGGCCGGGGGGTTGTCATCCTGGGTGTCCTGGTTCCCGTCCCTGACACGAGCTGGTTGAACACTCGTGTTGACAGCTGGTTCTGGTACTCTGCTCTCGCGCCTAGAATCAGCAGTATGGTGAGGGTTGGAGGCAGTGCCAGTCTCAGTAGCAGCACGCTTAGCTCGGAGCTCCGATCTCTGTTTGTAAGTTAGATCTCTGCGAATAAAGACGGAGCCAAAACGGTCAGAGTCTTTCAGCTGCTTGGCCCTGTCGAGTATGAGCTTCCGGACATCATCATCACAAACTTTGCCTCTGTAAAGGTCAGTTTCCGAGGGGATTCGGACTACATCAGTCAGAGAAACTTTCTGGTGAATGAGGAAATCAGTCACCTGTTCGAAAGCCTGTACAGCAGCATTAGCTGAGCGGGCCCCCAGGCCTCGAATGACCAGGGAAGACCTGCGCTTTTGCTGCTCCTGCAGCTCACGCAGCTCCTCTCGAACAATTTTCCTGTACTCAGATGAGGCTGAGGCGGGAGGGACATCAGGGTTAGCTGGTGGTCTGGGGACTTCACGTTGGGCAGCACCGGGAGTGGCAGCAGCGTCAGGCACTGGTGGATTGGAGGCAGACAGGCTAGGCCAGGACGGATCCGGTGGAGGCCCGGCACGTATCAGGCCAATCTCCGCCTTCAACTGCTGCACGACAGAGCTCATTCCATGTAACTGTTGGGACAGATGTTTGACCAGTTCAACCAGCT